TCTGTCTGTTCTAGTTGGACTAAGTGGGCCCCTTAGGCGTTTCAAAGAATATATCATTGCCATGGGGGTTACACTATAGCCGAGACTTACATTAAGTATATCTCAGCACAAGCTATGGCTCTCTAAACGGCAGAGAGATGCTTCAAAGATAATCCGCTTCAAAAAGAAATTCTTGTGCCCATGCTGAGAGATCTGAGCTCTAAACATATGCAGATAACAACTGCAGTGGATTTATCATGAGCATGCAATTTCATCTCGCCCACATCTGGACAGAAATCCCTCGATGGAATAGATTAATAATCCGCTAAACTGAAGATACCTTCAGCATAATGCAGTTACCAGAAAGAGAACTGCTTTCGATGGGTCTCTCTGGTTGCGCCGTATGACAGCTTTGTTACCAGATACACGTGAAACTTCGTCCGTGAGCATGCAGCTTAGTGCTTTTTATGGCAAAATGCCTCAGGAATGATATAGTATTAAGTCACTGTAGGTCCAAAGACTTTCAACATCCTAATTAACTTTGAAAAAATGACAGTGATCTTTAAAAATACGCATACATATGCTTCTATGGTGACGCCAAACCTAGAATACCATAAATGTATATATCATTCTGAAGACATTTGTCCTCTACGTCCCAAAAGGGTAACTACAGTCAGAAAACGAGGAGCATAAATCCACAAAAATGTCATCCATGTCACCATGGAAAGGAGTATTCGCATAAACCACTACATAAAAGCGCACATTTGCCTTCAGCTTTGATATCTATCTAGCATACGTGCCGTTCTGAGAACAGCAGAACACTGACCAGAATGCTTTGTTATCTGTGTTCTCCGGGGCTGATCTTGTCTGAATTTTTAACACCTGTGAAATTATGCCCCTGTAATTCAATACTGATGGCTTCGAAACGATACCTGGGGACTGACATCTGAACTATCTTTCATTAAGGCTTATTAATGGCAACCGTTGACGTAGAACTGAGATTAGCTCTTGGCAGAGGCCCATGTCTTTCAAATACAAGATCCTCTATTGCCTTTAAGTCTGGCACATGAGTTCCCAATTGCTATTCAAGTGTCTGCTCCCTCACCACTGGAGGGTTTCTGGAGGTGTTAAAGGGACTTGAAGTGTAAACTTTTGGAGAGCTGTTTGAGTGTTAGCACAAAGATACCCTTCACAAGGGTGCTAACATGCTCTGACACCACAATGGCCTTGAGGAACTACATCTGAAGGTGGATCTCAAGACAGGAGCAGCTTACTGGTGACTAGAGATGTAAAAAATGCAACAATTTGATAATAAAAAATTCAATACAACGATTACGGTACTTAAATGATGGCTATAACAGAGTGTTATGACTATAATAGAGTGCTGCAGGGAAAACATTTTTGTATGCCAACCCGGAAGTTAGCATCACCCTGGTTCCCTCGACAAAAAGCCAATCGGATTTTTTCCAATGACTTTTAGACAACTACAGAAAATAAGCTCTGTGCGGCCAACAAAAGTTTATGATACTTGCATGTCTTCACAAATGAATTCAACTTTTAGTCATTTTGAAGCCTTAATGCAATCGCCAGAAGTACAAATCTAAAGTTAGGCTATAAAGAACTACTCCACGATCACATGACTTCAACACCCCCACTTCTGACAACGTTTTGTCTTTATTTAAAATCTACAAGTTAAAAAATATGAGTTACAATGGTTTGTAACACATTGGATATTATAGTAATTTTAAGAATTCTTAATTTGTGGCCACAATATCTATTTTTTCCCGCATGTCTTGCACAGGGATCCATACAAAGTAAAATCCATTTGGATACTAAAAAAAATCCAGAACACAATAATTTCCTGTGTTTGAGGAAATAAAGCCCATCAATGACAGGCATGTACCTGACTTCAGTTTATTCGCTGAAGTACGACAGCTGTTCAGAAGGAGGAGCCCTGCCCACACGGGAGGATCACTCTGAACACCTCAGAGACAAGTCCTGACAGCATCCACAGCCGTGAATGTAACTCTGATGCTGGCACCTTTGAATTGAAAGATGAGAGCTGGAGAGGAAATGATCTAAAAGCTTGGGCTTTCTCTCTATGTGTTATTTCATGTATCCGATATCAAAAAGCAACCAACGACTTACCGATAGATGTGTCTAACCCTCCATAACTACAGCTCAAGCAATCAGAATGAAAAACGCTTGGTTGAGCAAACCTGATGAATGCAGTAAACATATGGCATTTACAACACATCAAATTTGGTCCAAAATCACAAACCCCTTCAGGAGGCGGTTTGAAGGATACACAAATATTTTACCATTTTATAAAAACCAAAAGCAACACCCTTCCAAAAATCCAAGCCTTTGAGCTCAGCATTCAACCAAAACCTTGAGACTCATGAGAATTCTGCATTTGTCTTTTATATGCATTCATTATTTCCCTTTCTCCCCTAAAATGTTCCAGGCTATGAATGTTATATGTAAAACATTCATAATACCAGACAGCATTCGGAACAATGATAACGTTCTGGAAACCACTCGGATATCTGCAGAGCATGTCTCGACTGCCACCCCAAAAATAAACACCAAAACAAATCAACTTTGAATAGCACAAAATCTCTGGTTTCTAACTTAAATTCTTTTTTAATGCCATTTTAATGCATCAGTTTGGAGACCTGTTAATTTGGAAGCCCCTGTTATGAAACTTTCTATTATACCAATTTACAACATCTAAAACAAGGGGTCAAAAGGTTTTTGCCCTGTCAATGCACAACTGTCTAGAAATGGCGATGTGTCACTCGCTCACTATTAAGTATGCACGTTTCGTATTTCTTTGTGTTTGGTCCCATTTTCGTCTCACTCTAAGGCATCTATACTCGCTCTTGCTCCCTCCTTTACACACACACACACACACACACACACACACAGAGCTCCTCATCAATAAGCGTGCGCTTCCACGAAATGCCCCTACACAGTGCAGGCATGCTAACCAATCTCCTAGAAGGGTTTGCCGTGACTGCGACTAATGATGGACTAGATCAGCTGATGTTAGTATAAGAGAAAGGGGAAAAGGGGGGTGCTTATAATGTCCTCAGGAAAATCCCTCTCACCTTTTCAAATATATTTCTGTTACGGCTCCACATAGCTGAGAAAAACGTTGCGACAAGCACAAATATGAGGCTGACAGCATTTCAGCACCAAAAAACAGTGGACAGCACTCTCAGCCAGCAGTCATGCTTATACAGGGGTGCGTGTGTGGTGGGGGGAGGGGGATTCCCACACTGTTTTATGCCATTCCCCCTCGCAACAAGCTCAGAGACTCGTGCTCACAGAATAGGCTTGCGGAAGCACGCCGAAAAGAATGTCATGAACATGTGACACACTGCAAAGTCATTGACATTTGCATTCAGTCAGTGTGTGTGCATTTCATCACTTGTGATCCAAGTCCAATTCATTTCCATGAATCGGTTGCTTTAAGCCGTTTGTTACAAAGAACCAGTTAAAAAAATGATTCAGTGATTCTTTTACATCATCATGTGATCCGTGACATCATTGTGTGGTATTACATGCTCTAAAATGTTCCAATAAAACCATGCAGTTATATAGTTTGATAAAATTGCCATTAAGTTAGTGTTATTAATAAGGGTGATTTTAATAACAATAAATTAATGCGGTCACATTTATTGTTGTTCGCCGAATTTTCAGGACTATATCCAATTATTTTAATTGGAATCAGTGCAAACAGGAATTTCACATGAGCGCAAAAGATTTCCTCACACAGAATTCACAATGGGTTCAAGTTGGTCACACAAGTTTGCAGTGTGGACCAATAGAGAGCTGCTTGGTTTAAAAGCGATTGCTACACTATATATTGAGAATAGATCACACCTGCAAAATTTCGCAGAAATGTCGCAAATGGGACTGCATAATCATGCATGTTGACAAAAACGTTCATATAGGCTAATCAATTTAATTAATTTATTTACGGAACTCTGCACATTATTTATGAGTGGAAAAAACTGTTCTCGAATCAATGAGTTAATGAGTCAGAGTCGCTAAAACAATCGATCAATTCGACTCGTTCTATCCGACTCGCGAACTAATTGTGATTGTGAACAAGTTCATTATAAAGATCTCTGGCTCAAAAAAAAAAAAAACATTCGTTCACGAATCGGACATCGGTATTCATCACTCATCACTTATTCCCTCCTGCTCCCGAGGGGAAGCAACGGCAGCGATATTTAACAGGAAGGCGGCTGCTTCGTTCCCCTAATTTTAGCCAAAATTGGGGTGGCGATCAAAGCAAACGATTCACATGCATACACGAGAATAGGCTACTACTCAATCGCGCGCATAGTACAAGCCATTTTCGTTAACCCTGAAAGTCGTGTTTCAGGTGCATTTCTAAGTGGATCTATCTATTGCACGAGACGCTGTATATATTTAGATATCACCGTGCATGTGTACAAATAAAGACTCGAAGCAAACCAGAAGCTGAGATGCTGCTGTGCAGAAATCCATGAGGAGGGGAAAAAAAACACACTGCGTGACCAACTCCAAATACCAACTCGTATCTACATAACAGCACTATTCAGCAGCCACACACGTTAATATGACCATAAACAGACATATGGCATCGATCGGAATGTTCATTCACAGATATAAGAGGGTTTTCCAGCTATCTGCTTTATGTTATTTGGATGTCTTGCGTACAAGCTATGAATAATTCATCACACAAACTGTTGTCTTGACACTGAGCTGTGCTGCATGACAGACCAAAGGCAGATCTCACAGAGCCGGATACACTATCGCATATGTGTATAAATGAATACGAGAATATATAGATAAATAAACGCACAGCTTTTTACAAATGAGTCGAGGAACGCGAGCGATAGATGGGCAGAACTCGCTGATAGGAATCACCACCAGCACGACTATCAACAGCGGGCAACAGCGTGAACGGACAGACCAGCACGAGCGACGAGGCGTAAAAGGAGCTAGTGTCATTTCTTATTTACCTGTCAATATTCCAACTCGGATTTGGTGGTCGTGGTTGGTTAAAATCATCCCGTCCGACGCCATGTTTAGCAGCGCTCTCGCCCGCACTGACAAGCCTGAGCAGAGCCGAGAGACGAGCGCATCGAACTCGGGGGGAGGAGTCAGGTGAGAGCAGCCGAACTCTGAGCACAACACAGAAGATTTGGCAAAGTTGCTGGTGTTGGTGTACAATCAATAATATAGGCTAGAGTTTACTCTCAAGTCGCTTTTTTCTCCGAATGTAAGAGAAATGACTGGATAGTGATGCTCTACATAGGCTAACTGGTGTTTTAGGCCTACTCAGTCCTCCATGAATGTGATGAAGACCGGAGTGCAGCCTAATCGATTTTGTATAACGTAGCTGCTAACGCTATTATTTTAAAAGTCGTCAAGAAACAGAAGATGCGATAGTCTTTTCTTCCCTATTGTGACTTATATATCCGAGTGAAACGGAGAAAGAAGTTAATGTAGGGTGGGACTTTCTCTTGTGATTGACAGGTTGTCCTGCCCTCCCGCCAGTAAACACGTCATCAGAGAAGAGATGTCAATCAAAGATTACGCGCGCGCGTGTGTGTGTGTGTGTGTGTGTACAAACAAGAAATATAATTTTGGCATAATTTTAAATTCTAAATAATTGTATTCCTCTAGCACCCCATGAATTTCATTTTATATTCAAAATGGTAAACAGGAAATACAATGGAAACGTATTGGTAACCCGTAAATGTATAGGCTATAGCCTAAATGAATATATCTCAAACTACTTTAAATGTTGTTGTTGTCCTGAAAATGTTTAGACAACAATAATACAGTATTAGGCAAAAAGTATAGCCTATAAGCTTGACATGTTTCAAATATGTGTTTCATAGTTCGTAAAAAATGATTTAAATGTATACATACAATGATTTATTAGTGTGGTTTCTTTTGATGCTTTTTGTATGGGTTCACAGTGTGTGGAAAAAGCACACTTGTGCCTTTTTATATACATTTTATTTGTTTGAGCTTGAAGGGGCAAGATAAGGAGTAGGCCTATCCCAACAATATGTCAGTTGCAAAGATTTACAACTCCATTGTTCTGTGGCCTTTGGCATTTGAAAGTTTCAGTAATAGCTCACATTTAGTTTAGTTTAGAAATCTTTTATTATTTATACCCCTTAGCAGTAGTTTGTTCTGCATCGTGGAAGTTTACCACCACAAGACAAACAAATTCACAACATCAATTATACTTTAAAATACAGGAAAAAAATAACTAACTTTTCCTATTTAAATTGAGCAAATTTATAGCACATGGTACAAACGAAAATTTTAATGTGTCTCCTGTTTAGGCCTCCAATTAATGTATAATTTAAATACATTTATTAATTCATTCAGGATATCATTCTGATATATTCTGAGAATCTGATCAGTGCTACAGATCTGCATCAGGACGTTTAGAGTAGGACTAAGGGATCATTAACATGACATGGATTTTTTTTAAATTATTGTAATATGTTCCTTGAGGTTCACTTATAATGTTAATAAAGTTTTTTATGTGGAAAAAATGATTATTTTCAACCTTCATTCTGACCCTCTGTCTGAAAAGATTTGTTTAAAGGGATAGTTCACCCAAACATTATTCCAAACCTGTATGAATTTCTTTTGCTGAACACAAATGTAGATATAGAGTTGATGGGCCCCATTGACTTATAGTATTTTCCCCCCCCCCCACATAAGTCAATGGGGCCTATCAACTGTTTGGCAACTATCTCTTTAAGGCTTGCCAGTAAATGGCCACTGTTATGATTGGCTAACATCATTGCATAGGAAACAGTATCACTATTGCACATGAGTAACATTTTCCTTATAAAACTGAAATTTTTATAAAAGCATTATGAAATCATTTACTTACGGTTTGTGATGCAGCTGCTGTCAATAGAGCTGACTGCTTCATCTTTCAACAAAAGTTTCTATGCAAACTCTCCATTTTCTCTCGCCCCCTTTGTTGCATGTTCCGGAGGCAGTTTATGTAAATTTTAGGATTAGTGATGTCACTAACCCCATAGGAAGTTTGTGTAGTACCTTCCGGCCGTTTGTTGTAGTGCTTAAAAAATGATTTCTTTAAAAGCAAAAATCTCCCTTTGCTCTGAACTTTGAGCATCGTAACTTTGCAGATATTGTTTACGCTCAGACAGCAACATTACACAAAGTTAGATCATAATCAACCACCCCTTTAAGCTTGATTAAATAAATGTTTTGTTTAGAATGAGGATGACATTTTAAGCTATGAAACTTTTTATGGTATGATCTTATATGTCAAAAGATCAAGGCAAATTAAATTTTTCATGTCATGACCCCTTTAAATCTAAAACATCTCTGCTTAAATGTTACTCTGGTACATTATATATTATGAATCCCACTCAAAAATCTCCAATTTTTTTATTGTTTTTATGTCATTCCCCTTTCTTCCTTCCAGCACACAATGACATGATGGTCAATCACCTTTAGCATCCCTATAGAGATCATTTATTAAAAAAATGATTCGGGTTCAGTATAAGCACAATCGACAACATTTTCACGATATGCGTGATTTTTTACGTGAAAAAATCACTTACTAACCTGTCCTGTGTGAAGTTCCTTCGTTGTCATGACAATGCAACTCCATAAACCCTAAATTATTATACAAATTATGATTTAAACAGCTTTACAGCTTAGATAATACACCATTTTCAAGAAAAGAATTAATGTAAGTACTTTTATAATATTATAGGCTTCACATTTCTGCTTTTAAATCCTTGAAAAAATGACCCCATTCACTTTCATTGTAAGTGCCCCAGAGTAGCTTCGATATTCGCTTCTCTCGTTTTTTTAGAAAAGAAGGGAGTCTAAATTATTTAGAATTAGTTCATAAATGCTGTTGATTTTGCTTAACTTGAACTGAGTCTGGAATATTCCTTTAAGGGTTGATGTTTAGTGATGATATTATTGGAGTGTCAGAGCGGGATGGATCCAAGGGAGTTGGTACCTGTATCAGAAATTAATTACACACTTTATTGCATCACAGAATCACAAGCTTAGATCTGGCACTAAGGTGCAAAGCTCCAGAAGAAGCACTCCAGCTTTATTAACATGTGCACACGAGCATTGTGGGGAAAAAACAGGGAAGGCTGTGGGGAGGCTTAGGTCTTGTCCATTAATAGACATGAATGTTTGCAATGGTGTTATTAGAAGAAACCATTTTCTGCTGTTGCAAGGATCATAGGGAGATTTTCAGGCAAGCACAGCTAAATCTAGATCAGCGCTCACCATGTAACCCCAGGATGTCAGACTTTACTGGAGTTGAGTGAAAAGTCAGCACGTCAGCACAGGCCTCCTAGGAGGACAACGGCTCTCTGCGGGTCATTATTTAACCATTCTTATTAGGCAACAAGCTCAAGCCAACAAAATGAGCAGCTGTTTTCTGCTGGCAGAGCACAAAAAAACACAGCACAGAAATCACAATCTATCCTCACATCTCAAAAATATATAAATCAAATGCAAACACCTTTGACTGCATTGAAGTCTGCATGGGGTTGCACACTCCCAAACGAATTGTGCTCTATAGCAGTCTGTGGTGCGAATGACACTGGTGTAAGTTTGTTTGAACATTTTTGGAATAAAAACAATTATTTTGTCTTCATAGTGCCAATTTCACACTGTTTGAATAATTTGAAAAAGTTACAGCTTGGTTAAATTAGATATTTTATGTATTGATAATTACCTTGAAATTTATATTTACCTTGATTGAGGTCTTAAATTTAATCTCAAGCTCTTCACTGACTTGTTAAACAAGTACAGTTAGATAAAAAAAACTTTATTAGGGACAAAATTGACAAATATTGTATATATTTCAAGTTTGGAAGGCTGGTTAAACAACACATAGAACAATACAAAAAAAACTATTTATACATGAGGCATTTCAAAAGTAGCAAGAGTAACTGATGAAATTTAGATAACAAAAAAATGTTGTGAAGAAAGGTGAAACCTGCTAATTGATAATAATTTAAAATAAATAGCAACTCCTTGGATGTAAACAAGTGTCAAAAGTTGAAGAAACACCCATGTAAAGATGTTTTATGGCTCTGACATCACTTTCAGTATATTTCAGTGTCTTCATGCATGACCCTCCTCTGCTTTACAGAACGTGTGTGCATTACTATAGTAACACAGGAAGGTCTTTCACTAGAGCTGACATGAACACTTCCAGCTGTTGGCACTCTGTGAGGAAAGCCTTTGCACTCTTAGATGAGACGGCTCTCCAATTCACACATACTGTATGCAGGCAGAATTTTAACCAACCTGAATTCCAAGTAGGCACTAGCTTGTGAACCCTCTTCCCAAGACCGCTCCACTCGCCCATTCTCTCACCTCCCCCATCCTCTCAATCTCCCTGTCTTCCTCACCAATGTCTTTTCAGCATCCCCCCCCACTCGCCCCCCTCTCTCTCTTGCATTAATTTCCTTGCTGGTCCAGGCTGGTTAGTGCTGGTTTAACTGGTGCCAAACCTGCACAAAAGATGGAGGACAAGGAATGACATTTGGCTAGTTAGGCTAATTAAAGAACCCTTGTGGAAACATTAGCATCCAAAACATTAATAAAAGCTTAGACAGAGTTTGGGTGAATCTCATGAAGATTCAATGAAGATTCTCTGAGAATTTATTTTAATTAAATAATTTAAAAAATATATATATTTAAAATATATTCCTTTTAGTCTACTACTAGGACCGTTGTATTGCATTGTGACATATTTTCAGGACAATTTAAGCTCATTTTACAGTATAACTCCGTTTCCATTACTTTAATGCAAAAGTCTCCGTATATACCGTATATGTAATAAAAACTCAAAGCAATATGAATATGAATATATATATATATACACTACCAGTCAAAAGTTTGTAATAGTTAATTTTTTTAAATGTCTTTGAAAGACGTTTAAGGCTAATAGATCAAAAATGCAACAAAACAGTAATAACAAAATGTTATTACAAATTAAAATTACTCTCTGTTTTATTATATTTTATTATAAAGCTGAATTTTCAGCTGCCATCACTCCTTCAGAGTCACATGATGCTTCATGAACTTTTGACCAGTATAGTGTATAAAA